GTAATTTTCTAGAAGATCCTGCCTGAAATGAAGTAGTCAATGCAATTTTGATGTTGGGGCACAAAGTTTACTTATTATGCCATGTATATGGTGAAAGATCAGATGGAATGTAATTTTGTTAGAAATTATGCAAGATAGTGTGACACATTGAAACAAATTATCAGCATGTTTTATGTGCATAGGAAATGATGATATGACAGAATATCAGGGTATAATATCTGCTGTGTTTATTTTATAGTTAAACAGAATAAGATGTTTTAATGAAATATTTTTGCTATCTTCCCACAAGGGAAAAATGTATGGCAGATGAAAAGTTTGAACTCTGTGTGTGTGTGCACGCACGCACACACATGTTTGTGTACGCAAATGACTTTTTGTTTGTATTCTTTCTGTATTAAACTACAGTAGCTGGATATAATACCAAAACAGAATAGAAGCTGAAATTTTGTAAGAATGAAGCTCTTAATTCCAATGCATTTTAAGAATCATTAAAATGTCAGTAGACTGCTAAGTTCAGTATAACATTTAATGTCCATTCTCTTGCCCTTTATATGTTATAACACAGGTATGATCTTTTAATTTCAAGAAAACTTAATTCTGACACTTGATATGAAATGCAGTCAGTTTCTTAAGAATGATTAATGTTCTTTACAGGCCTGGAGGTGCATATAGATATTTTGATAGTAAATCTACATAGTATTTCTTAGCCAATTTAAAACTTTCCATACTAAGGCATAATTTATCTGCATATTTGATCTCATAGGTGGTACAATTGAACCTGATAAGTTTTGAGTTTTAATGAAATTAACTTCTTTATCAGATAACCTGATATTGGTTACAGGAACCAGAATTTCTTAGATGTACAAGTATGTATGGTAATTTTCCATTCCATTCCTATTTTATTGAGTGATTTGGTATTGAAGGACACATCATCTATTGACATGTGTTGATGACGTTAATTTATTGGGTGATGATATAAATACAATAAAGAGGAACACGGAAGTTTTACTAGAAGCTAGTAAAAAGGTGGTCCTAGAAATAAATTCAGAAAAAACTAAGTATATGTTAGTGTCCCATCATATTAGGGTGGCTAATAAATCCTTTGAAAGTGTGACAAAATTCAAATATTTGAGAACAACAATAACAAATTAAAATGATATTCATGAGGAAGTTAGGAGGAGATTAAATTCTGGAAATGCTTGCTACTTCTCAGTTCAAAATATTTTGTCTTACCGTCTGATTTCTAAGAACCTAAAGATTAAAATATTTTGCCTCTTGTTTTTTGAAACATGGTCTCTCACTCTCAGGGAGGAACACAGATTGCAGGTGTTTGAGAATAGGGTGTTGAGGAGGATATTTGGGGCTAGGAGAGAAGAGGATGGGGTATGGAGAAAACTGCATAATGATGGGCTTAACAATCTGTACTCCTCCCCCAATATTGTTAGGGCCATTAAGTCAAGAAGAATGAGATGGGTGGGGCTTGTGACGCAGATGGATGGGGCAAGATGTGTGCACCAGGTATTGGCTGGGAAGCCCTAGATGTAGATGTGAGGATAATATCAGGCAGGATCTATGGGAGAAAAGATTTGAAGGTGACTGGATTTTGCTTGTCCAGGACAAAGACTGGTGCAGGGCTTTGGTTATTTTAGTGGTCAACTTTTGGGTTCCCTAAGCCATCTATCTAGTTAGTTAGCTTTTGAATTTAATCAATTAAATGTACTTTTTAAACAAGCTGTGAAAGAGGTTAAAAAAAGGATTTAAAATCAAACACTTGACAAAAATTTTGTTTGAATAAAAATAAGAGTGCTTACAAAAGGAGAAGTGTGTGGTCAAAATTGTAACATTTTCAGTTAAGAAACAATTGTATTTAGATTGTGGATTATTGAATCACTCATTTTTGAAAGGTCCTTATTCCATTTTTAGTGAAAATGATTTAGAATACCTTCATATTCTATGCACATATATATTTTTCTGCATAGAAAGGGCATCATTGCACACACTGAAGCAGCCTACTGAATGTTTACCATATTATATTGCTTTTGAAAGGACCACATTCCAAAAATGAGGCCATTTCTAAGGTGAAGTGATGCTTGTAACTCCTAGCATGTGTGAGCAAAGTTACTTTCCAGTCATCTTTTTGCATGCATTTTGAATATACCATGTTAAATTCAGGTATTGTTTTATCAGTATACATTGGGGGACAAGAGCCACTATTGAACTCCAAATGCCAGCATTGCCTGTTGTTCTCAGCTTGGCCTATTCAAAATCAAATTATCATTGTTAGAGATATATTTGCGAGTCAATAAAGTGTCTTTATTGATAGTGTGTGACAAAATAACACGTTCAGATTATTCATTTAAAGGAGTCTTACATAATTTTCAAAAAATTTCTTTTAAAGTCAGTAGTTATGTAGAAGCAGAATTGAAAACAAATTTTATTATGACCCTAAATATTATTTTCTGGCTTATCGTGTTTTGCTAGACTTGATAAATGTGGTAAGAACTGAAGATTGCTGTCTTCTGAGTTATTGTGCCGTGTAGTATAGTAGATTTCCACCAACGTTTCAGAGGTTATACTGCCTCCATCATCAGGGCGATTTGATGAATCACCCTGATGATGGAGACAGTATGACCTCTGAAACGTTGGTGGAAATCTACCAGACTACAAGGCACAATAACCCAGAAGACAGCAATCTTCAGGCTCACCACTGTTAAAACCTCAAATCATACATGGTAAGAACTGTTTTCCTTAGTTCCTAAAAACTGGAGCTTTTGGACTAAGGCCCTTTTCAAAATTTCTGATTCATTATTAAGGAGAAGGTACTGCTACAGACTGGTTTAACATGGTGGCTTTCGTACCTGGAGCTCCATCCTTGTCATATCCTGATATTCCACTGGGGTAGTACTTCTGGATTACTTCTGGAGGTTCCCAGTCTTTTAGCTTCTCCACTTCCAAATTTTCTCTCCATTTAAGAGACTGTAAGAATGAATGTGTTTGAATATTTGATGTGAAAAACTAGGAAGAACATATTTGAGGTCCTTTCACAAATTTGGAGTCATCCCTAATATAAGTTAGGGATGATATAAGTGATCATTTATTTTGATTTGTAGGTAGGTTCTGTCAGCATGTTTTTAGCTAAGATATACCATTAAACCTGTCTTAACTGTTCTTTCAAGGAAGTCTGTAGTAATAAAAAATATTGTGCAAAACCAATTCAAGAGTGTGCAATAAAAAAATGAAAGTTCACATTCACAAACTGGAAATTATCTGTAGTCAATAACAAAGTAAACATATCAGAATTGTTATGCTATGTATATACTTTGTAACTTATTTACTATGTATCTACATTCTCTTCATGTACAATGTCATAAATTAAGGAGTGGCACATTGAATTCTTTATTCCTTTCCTGTCTTAGATTTTTTATTGTAGTATATTATATTTGACGTAGCCTCTACAATTATATAAGCGCCTTTTGTGGTCAATGTATTATCTTTCTGTCCTTTTGTAGTTTCATTTTCTGTTTATATTCAAAGTCTGTCTCACATATTTTTCACCCCTAAACTGTGGTCGATTTTACGACATTTAAAAAGATACCTGACAAAATCATGTTGATGAAATACAAACTTGAGCAGTAAAAACCAAAAAGATTGGTACATATTTTGCTTGTTTACCCAATGAGCTTGTAGAGGTGAATCTGGGTATGTTTCATACAAAAGTAGTATTTTTTTAGAGTGTATCACTATGAGAAATTACATAAGATTTAATTTAGTTGACCAGTGTTGAGACTGTTTATAATATTAGACTCCTGCAGCTGTGTAAAATTGTTACAAGTTAGTGATCAAGGGAATATTTCTTACAGGAATGGAAATTGTCATTACTTTGACCCATATCCAATATAACAGCTGACTGAATTTTTGGATCCATGGTCAAAGATATGGAAATGACTGAAATGGAATGGCAATAGGAAACGGTGATTGTCTATACTTAATTCAGTACATTACAAATGAGCAATGAAATGTGTATGAGTCTGTATTCTACTTACATCTCGCAGCATTTTTTCAGCAGCTTCCACATTAAAATTGCGTGCTGAAAAAGAAACAAAGACTTTATAAGGAATTTGATGTTGCTTTCAAACCAAATAACCCTGAGAGTTTAATGATATCATCTGAGGAATAACAGAACTGAAGGAATAATTTTTTTTTGTGTTTTTGTCTGTGAGGTGATCTGAACAAACAAACAAACAAACAAATGTAAATGCAGAAGATAATATGTCCCTCTGCACTAGTCTTCATACAATGAAACATGCATTTAAAATGGTATGGATATGAGATTTGTCAACTAAACTGAAAAAGTTTTGAAACATCCTTAAATGGGTATAGTGCTGTATTTATTACCTAAAGATCTTTAGATGTCATCTCAGAATGTTTTTAAACACTACTATTGTTAAAACACCCCTTAAATTGAATGTTGAACCTTATTCTTCATTTATTAACCTACACTTCCAATTGCTCAAATTATAGAGTGCCAAATGATAAGACGAATATTTAACAATTATTTGGAAAGGAGTGCAAGAAAGTAGTCCTTATTTTAATCTAACATATTAGAATTAGTTTGGAGGGACTGACAAAAACCACAAGAACCCTCAGTCAGTAGTGCTGATCTCTGGACTGAGATTTGAACCTAGGATCTTCCAAATACCAAGCAGGTGTACTAACTACTTGACTATGATGTTAAGTTCCTTAAACAGCTTTGTATAACATCAGTGGTTTCATGTCAGTGGATGTTTTATGAGTTATTTAACAATCCTAAATTAATAGCTGATGATGTTTGTATCATTAGATGCCACTATATGTATGTCTTCAAAAAATGCCATTATATGAAGATAATTAAAATTATAATCAGTGAAAATCAACTAAACTGGATTTAAAAAAAGTAACTCTCCTGGACATCATGTCAGAAGATGCTTCTTGTACATTATTGTTATTGAGTCTTCAGCATACATTTTTATAATGAATACTTCCACCTAAATCAATATTCATAAACAAGGAATGCTCTTGATGAAAGACTCTTGGATTACAAGCCGCATCAGGTGGCTGAATGTTGAATAAACCATATCGTCTGCCAACATTTCGAGAACAATCTCTGCTCTCATCCTCAGGGTTGCTGCACTACAAAGGATTAGATTTTCTATGCAGCAACCCTGAGGATAAGAGCAGAGATTGTTCTTAAAATGTTGGCAGACGATATGGTTTATTCAACATTCAGCCACCTGACGTGGCTTGTAACCTGAGAGTCTTTCATCAACTTCAGTCACCACGAAAGCTTCTCTTTAGTGCTTTTACCTCCATTGGTTATTTAACTTCTGCTCCCTTTAATTCAGACTGTGAACTTAATGAAAGTGCATTATTCTGCATTGGGGAAGTGATATATGTTGGCTTTCTAAGGGTTGATTTGTTATTCTATCAACAATTCAGATAACATATTTGGATTGTGGTCTTCTGTTTATGTTAATCTGTATTTTCACCATTTATTGAAAGCTAGTTAAGCGCACTGAGTGAACTGAGAGATATGTGATATTTTTATAGCCAACATTCCTCATTTAACATTACCATACAGGAAAAGTGATTTGTAAGATTTGAGGTTTTCACAGCGGTGGGTATGAAGGTTTCTGTCTTCTTGGTTGTTGCACTGTGTAGTCTGGTAGATGGTTACCAACGTTTCAGAAGTCATACTGCCTCCGTCATCATGGCGATTCTTAGTATGAAGATTTCTGTCTTCTGGGTTGTTCTGCTGTGTAGTCTGGTCGATGTTAACCAACGTTTCAGAGGTCATACTGCCTCCATCATCAGAGCGATGAATGTCTACCATACTACACGGCGCAACAACCCAGAAGACAGAAATCTTCAAAAAGTGATTTACTCCTCAGTGATGTATGGGGATGCTGGCCAGATGAAATTCTGTAGTTAACAGTTTAACAGTATGCTAGTGAAATGTTCTACATATTTTGAAAGATTATTTAAGGTAAAAGAAGAGGAGAATTTTTCAAATGGTGACAAATTGTTGCAGATATCTTTCAAGAGTGTAACACATACTGTGCTGAGAAAATGCATCAGATGCTTAATTGGGGGGGGGGGATTTTTGAGGAAGACTTTATAGATACGGATGCCAGCACGAAATGACACGGGTTCAGGTATTGGCATCCAAGGAGACAGTGACAGCAACATTAAAATTAATACTACTTACCTCTGAGCCAGCGTAAGAGGAAGGGATCATCAAACTGTGGTTGACTGCAGTCGGCTATGTTTCTTCGGAGCTGCAAAGAATATATTATTGGTTAGATATTTTACAATGCAATTTTATCTGACTGTGTGGTTCAATACACATGTTGTTTCTGGTGCGTATATTTTTCAGTCACGAGTGCCATGCTAATACGCAGTTTGAAGGGAACACAGTTAAGCGATATCTTGTGTCCTTTGAGATGAGAATCTGAACCCTGGAACTAGTAAAGTGTGTTTGAAATTTGTCTCTATTGGGCATAAACTCGGTGCTCCATTTTTGTTCTCTGTAAATATCAAGTTTAGGTTATTTGAAGTGACACATGCCAGCAAATTATATAAAAGTCTTCTGCACATGCTGCCATAATATTTACACTGTTTTCTTATATTACGTACTCCAACGTCATCTAGATGTCATGTTAAAGAGTAAAGAGTTATGAGTTCTTTGGCTACTGTTTCCTCTTACTGTCTCTTACTCTGATTTATGCTTGAAGAATAGGAACTTATTCCCTTTTCTAATGCAAAACGTTTTTAAACATTTTCATTAGTGAACCTTTCAGGTCGGCAGTTCTCAGCCTTTTCCAGTCTTGGGTTCACATTCACCTTTATTATTCACTTGTGGGCTGCAAGATTATTATAAATGAGGGCAATTTACATAATGACACAGAAATTTATTTAAATTCTATTAAATTAGGCCTACTATTGCAAAGAGGTTCACATATTACTGAATCATCGGTCATTAGTGAGATATTTGACACTGCTTTACCAGGTTTATTTTCTGTTATAATTTGCTTGCTTCCCTCTCAGATGTTATCAGTAAGAAGCATTCAAGTTCTTGATTACATTTGTAATTAAGTTGCTCACAGTGATAGGTGCTTTGGAATACTGACGATCTTAAAAAATGTCTTCTGGAATCAGGTAACTAATATTTTATCATGCCGGATGATAGTTACAAAAAATATGAGTCGGGCTAAGAACCCGTCATGTTTGGCAATTTTTAGGCATAATTTAAAAATGAAGAACATTACATGAAGGTTGAAACACTAAAGGATAATTTTTCCAAAAGCACTTGAATATCAATAAATGTCTTATAGTTTTATTATACTAAAAGGCAACTGTCTAGACTACATGTACCAAAAACAACTGTGTGAAACTCAGGGATTCTCTTAACACACATTAGATACGAGTTAGAAAGTTGTGCAATGTTTTCTGCTGTGTACTTTGACATGCACCACAGTGCGAAAGTGATCCTCAATTTATAGGTTATGACTGCGGCCCAGCCGAGACATTTTCGTTCGTGTTGCGTAATCCGAATGTAGTATACGCTGAAGTGAATGTTGCTGTTTGATTGGCCCAGAGCATGTGTGAACGAGCGTTTTGTTTGCCTTTGTGTTGTATTGTTTGAATGCCGGGGGTATAACAGTGTTCTGCCGCTTATGTGATCGACTTCTTAATGTATTGGCATAAAGAATTTTGTTTGGTGGAAATGACTCTGGACACACGTGCTCTGAAGGTTATAGGATCAAACTCACGCAACAAAACAAGGTTACTTCCTTGAATCGGTAATAATAAAAAAAAAGCATAGTCATATTTACATTATCAAAAGAACCTTTAAAGTCTGAATATGTATATATTTTTAATATTTTACCCAATATAAGATATCTTTAAAGTTTAACAATACTTCGTATTATTAATGATTGAAAGGGTACTATTACCAGAGATTACGTCAGTTTCCTACCCGTGCGTCTGACTTATACCAAGGAAGTCCCAACTGTAGTTTGCTTTGGAAGGTATGTTAGTGAATAGTACTTATGCATGTTTCGAAACATCTGATTTATTTACTCACTCACTCTGTTGCAGGAAATTCTTTGAACAGTCGATTCTATACTTGGCTTGTCAAAGAATAACCCACGTTCTTTCTGGAACCCAAAGGTTTATCACTGTATTCACAAAAGCTGCTTCCTTGAAAGTAATTACAAAACTAATATTTAGTGGATAATGCCGACGAATGAAGTTAGCTTTCCTTTGTACAAAAGCTTCTTGTTACTGGTAGGAGGAACTTGATAAAAGAAAATTGACATTTAGCATGCTGAATATTCTGATGGGTCGTGTGCGGCCTACTGATTGTGATTTTCCTATCCCTGGTGACGATGCTGAATACTTCAGGCCATAATTGCACAGTTAACTACGTAAGTCATTCGCTCTCTGATGTGGCCTAGTGGCCCACTTGAAATTCCAGGCAGTAGCTGTAGCATAGCGCTGTCATAATCATCTCAGTTCAGTTCGTAGTCATACAATAAACATGCCGTTGAAATTTTGTTAATTACTTTCAGCTTCTTGAACATTCCTTTATTCAGTTTTATGCCTTGCACTTTGCTGCAAGTTTTTATAGAGGGATTGAGCAAAATACCTGTAGGTAGGAAGTGTTGTGTCCTCGTTAATTCATCCACAGTCGTATATGTAATTACGAGTGATAAATTCCTCATTGTAGGAAAGTAATGCTTTCCTTGAAAGTGGTTCGTTGAACGAAGGTGAGTTTCTAATTGCTTTACGGGCTATAATTAATGTGATCACATAAACAGAATGTCCTTTTAAAACGTAACCCTAACTACAACAGCATCCATAAGCGTCGGTGACATCACTACAAGGCACACAAGCTTCTACGAGTATTTACTTTTTGTTTTAGAGCAGATGCTGACAGTGTCCACCAGCGTGTCGAAGACGCGAAATTTTTTACACACTAGGCAGGATAATTATCGCCAAATACTTCACAAACAGCAGCATACGATTTCAGTGCGAAGTAATGTTTGAGAATAAAGTTAGTTCTGCTCGTGAATGCGTCATGGTTGCTCAGATGAGGAAGAAATTTGCTGTGATGTTATTGAAAATAAGTATTTATTAGTAAGAAGAATAGCGAATGAAGCAGGAGATTCAGATCTAACGAAATAAAATTAGTAATTTAAAAATGATGTAAGAAAAATATAGGCAGATTACAATAGGCTTTTTCTTGGCTGGAATTGTAGCAAAAGTTAAATAATTTACACTAAAACGGACAATCGGATAGTCGAAAATGTCGGATAATACGGAAGACTAATGAAAAAGGTGAGGATAAATACAGGGAATCCCATTTGTCCTTAGACCGGCCGGCTAGAAAATTGTTCGCCCACACATGCCCACTTCTGGCCGCAAAACCGACTATTTGTCACTCGGTGCTGCGAGTTTGGCATGGTCAGCTGTCCGTGAGGTACATAAAAGTACAGTTCGCAGTGTTGGGGAAAACAATTCGAAAATTAAGTATAGTGATGAACTGAAATTATTCATGTACGATACATTTGTACAGCGATGAAGATTTCTGTCTTCTGGGTTGTTGCGCTGTGTAGTCTGGTCGATGTTAACCAACGTTGCAGAGGTCATACTGCCTCCGTCATCAGGGCGATGAGTCTGAAGATGTCTGTCTTCTGGGTTGTTGCGCTGTGTAGTCTGGTCGATGTTAACCAACGTTGCAGAGGTCATACTGCCTCCGTCATCAGGGCGATGAGTCTGAAGATGTCTGTCTTCTGGGTTGTTGCGCTGTGTAGTCTGGTCGATGTTAACCAACGTTTCAGAGGTCATCAGGGCGATGAATCATCGCCCTGATGACGGAGGCAGTATGACCTCAAATCTTACATTTGTACAGCGTTATTCATGTAGGAAATGCCGTAGAAAGTTCCGTAGGGATTATCCTAACAGTACAGTGCCATGTAACAAAATTACGTTCTATGTGATCGGTGTTGGACAAAACGAAATCTCAAAAAATATATGCACTGACTGAAGAAAAACTTGATGACATCGGGGCTCGATTAGAAGCAAATCCGAAGAAGTCGTTACGTCTTTTGGCTCTTCAGTGTGGGTTGGTAATAATTACAGCTCAGACTGGTACAAAGTTGTTAAAGTTACTGCCTTACAAGACTACCGTCCTCCAGATTGTGAAGGAAGAATTTTGATACTTTTGGGTGGTTTCAGGAATGAGTATTCTGATGAGGCGTAGTTTACTTAAAGTGGTTACATAACAACCAAAATAGCTTCATGCTGTTCACGAAGTGCCATTGCGTGATTTAAAAGTTGAGGTTTGGTCTGCAATTAGTGCGCGGAGGATAATTGGGCCCCTGTTTTTTTACGAAACAATTCCGAACATAATGAGAGATTGGTCCTCTCACCTTTCTTTGAACAGCTGACTGCTGAAGAAAACTGGGAACAATTATATGATTCCATTACATGAAGTCTTCGGCAAACGAGTTATAAGTCGAGGATTGTGACCTTCGTGATCACCCGATTTAAATCCTTGTGACCTTTATTTGTGGCACGCTGAAAAAAAAGTGTATGTGAACAATCCGCACTTTCTGGAAGAACGCCAAGCAAATATTGGACATGAAATTTACGCTGTTCCCGTACAGAAACTTCGACGTGTGTCTATGACCATGTTCTCACGATGTGAGGCATGCTTAGAGGTAGAGGGTCGTCACTTCGAGACTGTTCTACAAAATAATGTTACACCCCGTATAATCTCAATTCAAAACTCAGTTTACGATATTACCAAATTACGAAGAAAATACAGTATGACATCAAATCAAAGCATTTATTTTTTAAAGTAATTGGTAAAGAGTATTTTGATCTGAGTTTCCTTCCTTTTCTTTGAGGCAAGAACACGCCAGCGTCTGAACATTAGTACGTCTACAGCAACTGAGAGCATAAAATGTAGAAAGTGTTGGGTGGAGGATTACTGTTCATTCCGCTACGTGCTGAGTTTAATGCTCATAAAATGGAGTGTTCTGACACGGCACATCAGATAAAACGGAATTTCGGGTAATCGGGACTCTGCTCTATGTGAATCCACCAACAGAACCCACTTGCATTGCGAGATGCGTTGCATCATCAGTCAACGAAGAATAATTTCCCGAGATCGCGACTGGCAATCCTTGGTTACACCGGATTTACCGAAGCCATCTGTAAAATCCAACCCATGATATTTAATTCAAAGCCGATCACCACGTTGATAATG